AAACAACTTATGACCAAACAAAGCAATAAAATCACCACAAAATGAAGAACACAAAATGAATATTTTTACAACTCTAAGATACGGTATAAACCACAAACATTCATTCAACAATATTAACTTCACACAATCTAATCAGCATCAGAAAACAACTTAAACTAAAGCACCCAATATTTACATATATCCTCAAAACAAAGCAGCAACTAATATAATCTTGATATAATACCAAACATTCAACCAATATCAACCAATTATATCTTCACAAACAGATATAACTCAACAACCAAAACAACAAATTACAACCAATAAACCCTGATCAATTAAGATCACCACAATTATATTCAACCACTTCAACAAACCAACAAAACTGACTTCAAAACAACAAAATTCTCTTCAAAACAACAAAATTCTCTTCCCAATAAAAAAATAACCCCTCACACTATAAGCGTGTGTCTCCTAACTGATGTAAAATCTCTCTCTAAACGCGCATATTTGCTAGCTGAAACGATTTGACATTTAAACATGTATACATATTTTATACTCCCAGCAACAGGTTTATAAATGAAACTGTACATTGAAATATGATACACTTCAGTGTATCGCTGACTCGTTGTAAAAAAAAACTATCTATAGTGAAACTGTGATTATTCTGACAGTAATAAAGCCTGCATATCACAGATAAGATGTCAAACACAAAGTTAAAAAGCAGGCAACATATCCTAAGGCCAGTTTAACATTATTCATGTATTCAAATAGGAATATTGGTAAATCATAAGATAGTAGATAAAGACAATATTTGTGTTCTGCTCTGATTCAGTGTCATATAATGCCTGATCTTCATGGTACATAAGTCCAACCAGATGTGTAAAGGAATATGAAAATGTTAGATTTATTCATAATCTTGTTCCAAAAGAAAGCATTAGACAGACTAATCTGTGGGATGAATTTATTTAACAGAAAATAGCAACTTTTATTGGACGATGTCTTTAATTTTTTTTTTAAATAAATGACTTTCATAAAAGAAAGGAAATTTGGTGTACGCTAAAGATATGCATTCATTCATAATCAACAGGGACTATTACATACAATACTTGAGAGGCCAAATACATTCAAAAGAGACATCAAAGGTCATAACTAAGGCTTAAAAGTAATATTAAATTATTTTCCTTGAAAAGATTTCTTTTCACTATCTATTAATTTGTTCGTCAATTACTATTTATTGTCAAAAGGACCTCTAGTTATACATAAATCACATTAGTACATTACAGAAATATAGATATAATAACTTTCAAATTTTAAGATTATTTGATATTTTTTGTTCTTCTCAAGGTTTTAAGGGTATAGATACATGTGTAATTAAGTAGGTATTATTGATGGATCTTATTCGAAATAAGCCTTTGGCTTACTGGGCAGTCCAATATTTTGAACAATAAACATGTGATTTGTTGCATTTCAAGTATTTACAATGAACAATTAATTTTATAGTACTTTAAAGAACATTCCTTCCTGAGTTTCTGTGATTTTTAATTTGTTGTTTAAGCAAAGTTACAACCTATAATATATTTTGCATGTATATTATTTTGTGTGTAGTTAGTGCTAATCAGCTTCTTTCAAAAATGAAATCAACAAAATAAGATAATATGTACAATAAATGATAAGAATAACGTATATCGATAAATTGAATTTCTGTACGTTAACATGTAAAAAAACATGTAAAAACAAGTTTTTGTTGTGTTGATCGTTTAGTAATCTGAAAAATATTTTATATTCTAGCTTTATCATAAATTTATCATATAAGTTTCTAACGGAGTATACGGGAAACTAAGATCTATATAAGCCGTGTCGCTACCTAAAAATAGTTAGTATAAGCCACGGTCAAACTTACCCAGGCGCAATACAATGGTGCGATATTTGAAATTGATATAAATTAACTCAGTAGTTAAAGATATCTTTAATAATAAGATGCAAAGGCACACATGTATAAGGATGTGCAGAATCAAATATAGTTTTAAGACCATATATAAAAAAGTAGTTTTAAAATTCATTTAGACCAAGCTTGGGAATTGAAATAACGGCAATGGCAAATATTCCCATTTTCACCAAGATAACATTAAACATAGAAATAAAAGATTTTTTGGTGAAAAGCAATCTGTAAAATTAGGCATGAATGTATTTTATAACTGGTTATTAGCTTGCGATTGAATGCAATTGTGGCAATTTTTAACAACAAAAATCAAAATTATTTAATTAGAAAAGAAACGGGCCGATGAAAAAAAACCCTTTTTCATTTTTTGGCGGAACGATGATATTATTGTTAAGGCGTTTCATACCATTAGCTTAACATGTGCATTTTATAGTAAGAATGTGCTGAAATCGTTCAATTTTATGAGATCGGTTTATCCGGAAATGTCCTTACTTCAGTCAATATAAGATTTTTATCAATAGATAAATCAAACAAACATCATCCTTCTATAAAAATTGATCCTATTACAAGCTCTGGAGGATGTAAGACGTAAAAGACAAAACCTTAACATCATATTTATACTTTATGAAAACAAGAGTAATCGTTCTGCTTTCCTATTCTTTTATTGTTATATTGGCCACTGCTTTAAGAGCTGACATATAACATTGTTCTATATATAAAGTGTCATTACAAAGCTAATAAGAATCACCGCACTGTTATTTTTTGTTCAATGTTATACTGGTTTCCTAGCAGTTTTCGGTCCCAGATCGCATTTTTATTTAAAAATAAAATAAGAATCTGTGAAATGACGTGTACAAAACCTTTGATAAAACATATGTACCTGTCAAGCATTCCCATGTTTTCAATGTTGCTCTTATACTTTACTTTTTAGTTGACATAGGACCATTTTATCCAGAAAATAAATTGTTCCAACTTTTTACGTATCGCCTGCAAATGTATCGTTCAAAAGTACCGATATATTTGGAATTCGGTTACAATTATTGCGCACTCGCATTTAAATTTGAATTCCCCAGGTATTGCTTATTTTTATCTGTAGGAAGTTTTCTTAGATAACTTTAAACAACAGGCAAATCTTCAAAATATATGAACCGCTGTACTATTGTATTCGCCGCGTTGAATAGAAAACAAACGTTTCTCTGATTTGATGAAATAAAACAGGTGCTTTTTGGTAAAAATAGACCTGGGCAGATTTGAAAACAACCGGACAACTGCTAGGGTCCGGAAACTACTAATAAACCAGTAAAGAGTGTTAAAATATTTCTTAATGTACATTTGTGAATTGAACGAAATATACATGGTGAATGCATTTATATATTTCAGGTAAGTCTGTTAATAAAACCTATCGTTTGGCATTCTTTACTGGCCTGGACGAAAACAAGGGTCAGATAGAAGAAAACATTGATCTTGTTTTCGATAAGGTTCACACAAATGTTGGAGATGCCTATGATAAACAAACTGGAAGAGTCACTATTCTTTTCTCTGGATTGTATCATTTACCGTCGTGATTGCTGCCCAGGGGTGACAAAAGGTATAGAATTTCCTTGATGACGTCATCAATGACGTCAGTTTAATAACATCAAAGTACAAATACGAAACAAATCGAATAATTTAAGATATACTGTGCTCAAATTTGATATTGGAAAATATTGATAATTGCTACACTGTCTCTTAAATATAAAATATACATGTTTGGCTTCACACAAAGCAGACATATTATGTTGAAAATTCTACACAATATAGGAGGTCACAATATGAATTTATAGTTTCATTCAAACAAAACTGACAGTTTTTTGTTTGTTTTTGTTTTTACCAATTTTACTTGACCTGTTATAGGGAAAGCAGCTTTCCATACATAGTGAATCTATTTATTTATTTATTCATTTAAATTAGATATGTTCAGTAAAAATTCCAATAATTTTAATAGATTTCTGTGATTAAAATGTGCAAATATTTATAGGATGAGCATACTATATATTTAACAAACGAATGCTAATTCATATATGACTGTTATGTGGAATATGTCATTGAATGTTAAAAAGAGGGATACCATTGAAGCATTGTATTGATTTGTATTGAGTTATAAATATATACATGTATATGATAACATATTTTCCATAGTTATTCAAAATTTTATTCAAATACAGCATTTCATATCCAGTTCAAGAATGTAACCTAAGTGTATACATTACATTCATTACGAAATTATCTTGCACATGTAATGAAAGTTAATTGTACGATTGTATTGTTGTTGTTTTTTACATCGATTTTACCAAAAGATACTGCCTTTAAAAGATCGCCATATAAAGTTTATATACCAAGAGGGTAAATTTCTAAAAATGTTGATTTGTCACTAATGTTTTCATTTGTAGGCTGCTGCGATGTTGATGAACAACGGAACGATGGTGGCGACAATATGGGCAGAGAGTATTCCGTTCTGGGCGACGTCGTCGAACACCGACATATGTAATCTAACATCCGGGGGCCAGGTCTGGCTCGTACTTCTAAAGCGTGGGTCATATATCCATGGTTACATGTATTCGTCTTTTTCTGGCTATTCATTATTTGACACAGAAACTGAAGAAAACGAAGCAATATAAGACGATGATAAAATTAATGCAAAGTCTTAAGTTAGTAAAATTTGTAAACAAGTTTGCTTTAAAAAAGTAAAGTACGATAAACAAAAAGAACATTGATCTTATATTAATATGCAAAAAAAAACCAATTTATTCAGGTTATCATAATTCTTTATTTTTTTGAAAAACGTTTCTGAAGAAACAAAATATAAGAATAAAGATTGCCATTAAACGAAAAAAGATATTTAATTGTAGAAAACGACACGGCTTTTATTAAAATATATACAAATCAGGCTTTGTTTCTTTTGTATAAATATTGCCAATATTATTTGGACATTTTTGGAATAAAAATCATTCAAACGTCGAAGATAAGCAAACGGCATGAACGTAATAACGCCATTCACACCATGTATATCCAGTAACGAAGGTAAAAAGTAAGACCGAACTGCACAAAAATCAGACATTACGGAGTATATTTTCCAAATGATTGTGATAATTGTATGAATAAATACAATTATCAATATATTTATAAACTGTAAATGAGGTGTTTGTATTATCTATTAATTATGTTTTAGTTAGAAAGTTTTTGACTTGAGCAGTTTATATGAATTAACGTCTGTTACGTACTTATTAAATATTGTCGTTCGCAGGAAAATATGAAGTATTATGTTACAAATATTGTTTTCTGGAATTTTTACAAGAAAACAAGATCTTAGGAAGGTTAAGTTTCAGAAATAATTGACGTCTTGTATCAACATATTGTTTCTGGTCAGTTTAACAACTATAAGTTTCTAGATTCAGTCTATAATACATGTATATTATTGTGGTATGTTTTTGGGGGGATTCAAACTAACGAATTTTCAGGTTTTCATTTATACTTCCTTTTGTTTTAATAAATGTCATGTTTATATTTAAGATTTTATTGCTTATTCCATATTGTTTTGTTAATATATAGTTGAGATGATGCAATACATATTAATAAAGATATCATTGTGTGTGTTAAATCTTAATTATAGGTTAACAGTATGTACACAATAGCCTGAAAATCAAGTCTATTTCATGTTGCTTATGATTGACTTTATCTAATAAATATAATGCATTATAAACATATAAGAGAAATTGATGTTAATATCATTGACAGAAAAGCCTTTTTAAGGGTCAAAGTATAACAACATTTCAACCGCAGTGAAAAAAGATATAAATGTAAAATGTCTTCAAGTTGTATATCAAAAAAGACGATAAATACTGGTGATTAATGAAAACTATATAATATGAATACACCTGACAATATGCTTATAAAAATATATCAAAAATGTAGGGGATTTATTTATTTGCTTCAATCAAATTACCTTGCACATATATACAAATGCATTTTTATGTACATACCTAGTACACCTTTGAAAGATGACTAAGTTATGTTTTTTTACGTTAAAAGAGTAGAACAGAATAGAAGCCTAAAACATGTCTTTACAATTACGTTAAGGCCGTATAGCAAATATCAATATTTTAAAATATCAAATTTGAGCATAATATATCTTTTAATTGTTTTATTTGTCAAAATGTTAATATGATAATATTAAAATTTGTATTGATTATAATTTATGTTTTGTCATATATTTAATTTAATTAGTGTATATTTATTGTTTTCATAAACATAAAACATTCAGCTGCTAAATGATACATTCAAACAAAACCTAAATGAACACAAGGTTCGCTTTCTTTGCTTTAATCAATTATAATCAGCCTTTGTTTACTATTAATATACTAACATAAACTAATATTAACACTATGCAAACTAAAACGTTGTATGAATGATATTCTTTACAACATATAGACACATCATTGATAAATCGACCATTCTTGACTTATTTCACAAAACACTAGAGTAATTAAAAGTCTAAAATGAATTGAAGCAGTTTACATCAAAACGTTTACGTTTAACGTCAGCTTATAATAATTTGATTTTACTCCCATCAATGTTTATTGATTTATTTATAATTCAGTTATTGACAAGTACTCCACTGAATGTGTTCATCCTGTATGCGTCTTGTCCTGGCTGGCGGTTAGAAGCTGACGATGTGGATTTGACCCAAACGTTTCCTCCTGATCTTACTCTTATTATTGCTCCAAATGAATCACAGTCAGAATTAGCATCACCAAAGTTGGAATCTGCTGCAATAACGTTACCTTCCATCACTAGGCCCAGATATGAATATTTTCTATTATAAGTACATGTATGAACATCAAACTGGTATAGTCCTCCAACAGGTGCCGTGAACAATCCCGTGGACGTGTCGTAACCTGTGCCCTCGTTAGTGATTGTCTTTTCAAATATAAGAATCTCATTTGCAGTATCAAGAACCAGGTCTTTCAAGTGATGTGCATAGAAAGCGATCGGAGGTTGTTCAAGTTTTCCTGCGTATAGAAATAATAGTTTTGTATTTTATATTGTAACACATATTGATATTTTGAAAACAAGTTATTTCGGGTTTTCATGATCATATGTCATTGTCCCTGAAAAATGTCAATTTATGGTGCACAAGGATATTTAGATTTCACGCTTTAATTACTTATCTGAATATAGGTGTTTATATATTTAAACTGTAAAATAAATTTCAACGATATCTAAATAAGGGACATACGTAAATAACAAAAACAAGCCATATATTCTTTTCTGACAATATCTGTAGTGATTAAATCATGGAATACTTGAAAATCGAATGTGACTTGAAAATTGAATGTACAAATTCTAATGAGAGTTACAAATTTACACATAGAGCAACATATCAGATCATTCTAGTTTGTTGAATATATTACTGACAAAGTGATTGATTAAATGAATGTATCAGTCAAATTAGCAACAATTTAATTTGTTATGATAAGTTGTAGATAAATATAAATGAATTACAATTCCATCTCACACAGGTTTGAAAAATAGTCATGACGTTGAAACAAAGTAAGATACACTACCTTGAATTTGGTTAAGTTCCACTTTTTTAGCGTCAATGTCACTAGTGAGGTTGTTTCTTGTTTCTTCAAAACGTTTCTTGAACGATTCTGTAATAAGGTGTTAAAGTTCTATAAACTTATCATTACCTAAGTTCAAGGTTATTCAGTAAACAACTTTTTTTTAAAGTTTCATTTCTCTATTATAGCTTTATAAACAATCAATTTCTCTTGGAGATGTATCGTTTATCATTTTAATGTCATTCAATACGTGCTTAGGTTAATAAAGAAAATAATGTTTATAAAGTTCGACAACAAAAGTTATGTCATATTACAGTTTTTAGACATTTTAGGCGATAACGTCACTGTTTGTAAACAATGGTGTATTAAATGTCAATAAATTTGCAAAATTAATGTTTAATTTTATAAAAACTTTTAACTTGTTATATCTACATTGTTTTTACTGCATTCAAAAAATCAATACCCATTATTAAAATACATTGATGAAGACCTATATGACTAACAATTGAACAACAATGAATGATAAAGAAAATGCTAAATATATATTAACATTTATTGCATACTTTATCAGTACTGTTTCATGATAAATATATATGTTTAAGAAATGAAGATTTTTATGTAAAACAACGTTTATATTATAAAGTTCGACAACAAAAATCATGTCAAATTCTAACATTTGAAAACAGTTTATCGACATTTTAGGCGAAAACGTCATTGTTTGTTAACAATGGTATATTAAATAACAATTAATTTGCAAGTATAATGGTTTATTTTTGTAAATATTTTTAAGTTTTTATATCTACATTGTTTCAACTATATTCAATAAATCAATACACAACGATGCTAACAATTGAACAACAATGAAAGATAAAGAAAATGCAAATATATCACATTTATTTCGTTTTTTATCAGTACAGTTCCGGTATAAATATTTATGTATAAGAAATGTGAATTTAATGTGAATTAGCTGTTTTATTATACTTTCTCTCCTTTTTATCTCATTACCTCTCTTTAACATTTCATCCGTTATGTTTCCTCTCATATCTACAAACATGTCCGTAAAATCTGAAACTGTTTGTTTAATGTCGCTTAATGTACTGATGACATTTTCCTCAGTTTTCTTAATTTCATTCACCATTGTTTCTACCTTAATTTCAGTCCTTATCATTTTCTCTAAAAGCTGTTCTTCGTATGCAAATTTTGAACATACAGGCTCTCTAGCCTCAGAAAAATTATAACTATATATTCCAAAGGCAATAACAAATGAAAATAACAATGAGAAACCCATTGTGATGATGAAAGTTGAAAAATAAAGTTTACGAAAGTCTCTGAATCTTACTCACTGAGAGAAACAATTGTATTTATACAAGGAAATCTGCGTTGTTACTTGAGAATGAGGCCCGTAATATATTTTAAGTATAATTGTTTTGCAGAAATGCGCTGAAATAAGGTATCGAAGGATATCCCTCAGAAACAAGTCGAGGGAAACATTCTGATTTTTCATTACAAAGACTGCACTTACCAGCTGAATTTTAAGTGTCATCACTTTTATTAACAAGTCAGCATGTTTCTATTAAAAACACACAGTTGATTCCAAGATCTTTTAGAAGAGTAATAAAGAAAATGATGTGTTAACCTTTAATAGCGATTGTTTCGTCATACTTGATTTTGAAATTATTATTCTTTTTTATCATGCAACTGCCCGATAACACTTGCTTGATAATTATTTTTGATATCAGGTCAGTAACCTGATATAAAAAAAAGCCCCGCCCATTTTAACGGACTTTTTTCAATTGCTTATATTCTCATTTTTATCAGCATGTGAATTCTACAATGTAAGCTCATACCCTTACAAGTCTTGAATCAAGATGCGATATTTATTTATTTATTATTTCGATTTCGATTTCAATTACAAATAAATTAGATAGCGAATAGTTTAAGCACCAATTTAATGAAGTGACGTCATAATTTATATTACATCATCGATGTTCACGTCATACTATACAGGTAATCATAACAAACAGGCTAGACGATTTTCTTCGAGAACTTGTGAATGCTTACCCTATTTCACCGGATTATTTAATAAGTGAACGAATTGATAATTGTGCTTAATTGTTTTTAACTTTTAAATGGTCGTAAGGTGACTCTAAATTAAAGGCTGACTGATTTGTTTGATTTTCACTGCTTTAAGATAATCATAAATATAGTAGCGAATAAGAAAATCATGTGAATTGTTGAAATCATAAGTAATAAGTTGTAATTTGAAAATAATACAATCCCTCTTACTGAACCTACTTTTATAACGAGAAAGTAAACATAAATATCTTTCTATTATTGAAAGGATAACATTATAATTCTAATCGTATAATTTATTGTTTTATTTTAAGAATTTGGGCCTATATTTAATATAACTATCTTTACATCGGACACGTTTGTGATATATATTTGCTCGCATTTCATGAAAATCGTGATGAAGAAATAAAACAAGAAGGCGTGTCTTTACAACACCCTGAAAAATCCTAACTGTTGGCAACATGAAAAGAGCATCAATGAAATTCATTTATTCAACATACATTATTCAAGAGGTGTTATTTTTTACCAGGATGCATTTTATATTCTATACGAACATATCCTATTCCCGAAAATAAATACACAAGTTTCAACTCTTCGTGAAAAGGTGCTTTGTAAGTTACCATGTGATTATATTCTTAATTATTCTTTCTCTTTTTATAATTTTGTGTTATAATACCATCATGATATCTTTTATTAGTAGATTATTTTCGTTTGCATTTATCAAGTGTATCATATTGAAAGCCTTACCGGAATATATGTACTATATGAACCAAGAAAAGATCTAGTTATACAACAGTTTCAACTCTTCTTGAAAAGGTGCTATGTAAGTTACGTAGCGAATAAAATATACATAATTAATCTTTCCCTTTTAACTTTTTTGCAATACTTTGAATGAAATTTAAGGAGCACGTCATGATATATAGAACATTTCATTAAAATATGAGAGTATTTGAATTATAACCAATTTGCTAATAACAATATAATAAGCACACAATGATCTTTTATGATTACAAACTATCCAATAAAACAACGCGTCGAAATACACAAAATACAATTAATTAATGTTACTCTTGAAATCAAAACAAAACTATCATTCAAAGCAAACATGCAAAAAACCTTGGATAGCATGTAGTTACATACATGTATATGACAAATGACTCCTGTCTATATTTTCTGTTTGCAAAAGACATCTTGAAAATAGAAACACAACACAAATTTAAATTGATTTTAAATTGATTTTATCATTTTTCATTGGTTCCTAGTATATATTTTCCGTTGAGTGTGAAACAAGTTAAATGATATCAGGCGGCTGTTTTCACCGTGAAAGAAATGCTACGAAACATAATTTTACTGAAATTTCTCAATTTATAATTTTTCATTACATGAGTGGCAGCATAAATCATGTTCAATTGTAAATCAATTTGCTACTTGACATGACTGCATATTTATATTTAACATAAAAATATTAAACCCTGCTATTTAATCCTAAAAAAACTATTTGTCAAGTACAACTAAATGACAGTTTTCCATGGTTACCTTTCCGCGATATTTTATTATTTGAAATATTCTTATTATGTAGTCTCTAAATGTAATGCATACTCGTATCCTTTTAAAATACCTGTATAACTGTTCGATTCTATAATTTTCTAGAATAAACAAAAATATAAATCCCTAAAGAAAGCCCAACACGACAAAATTGAAAATGTTGCAGGCTCGGTTTGAAAAAGCCAGTTCATGGACGGTACCAGAGACTGTAAATAAGAGGGATAACACAACAACAAACATTACTGTAACTAATATTGAATGATTGTATATTATGTACTGTGTATGATTATGAATAAAATATGTTTAAACTAATATCTGTAACTACATACATAATGATTGTCTTATTGAAGCACGCAGCAAGTAAGATACTTCGACCTCTTGACTTCTCGACCCTTTAAGATATTAGGATTACTTCAAGTCCCCTTGACTCTTAAACCACTGCTTTCATGACTTTTCGATACCCCAGTTGGTAAAAGATTTCGACCCCTACGGTACTTTATAAGGCCAGGAAGATAACACTTTGAAAAGATGAAGTAATGAATTAAAATTATTTCTTACGTGTATAAAAATGTAGTCGATTAATTCATTAGCTTCAATCAAATAGTTCCTAATGCATTTTTTGTGTACATACTTTGATATCCTTTGAAAGTTGTTTAAGTTATGTATTTACTTTTAGGAATAGAACAGAACAGAAATTTACCTAAGACTAAAAAGATATACTATGCTCTTTTAAAGTAAAATAATTATACTGCAGCTATAATATAAATCTAGATCATTCTTACTTAATAATCTTAATAAGTGAATACACTAACTAAACATGGGTGGCTGCATCCCCTCAAGGGTGGTCCTTTTTTTAAATAATGTCAGTTTTTTAAGTACACTGTGCATTTTTGCAGTGTTTAACTATAATGTATTGCGTTTAAAACGTGACATACTTAAAACATGTTATAACAATTACACAGACGCCGTGTAGCAAATATTAATATTTTGAAATATCAAACTTGAGCATAATTGAGCATAATATATCTTTTAATTGCTTTATTTATCAAAATATTAATGCGATAATAATCAAATTAATACTGATTATAATCAATTGTTTGTCATAAATATAATTTGTTTTCATGAACAAAGTTACTATAATTGCTAAATGATACATACAAGCGAAACCTACATAAACATAAGATTCGCTTTATGTGCTATAATAAATCGATATAAGCCTTTATTTGTCTTGAAGATACTAACTAATATTAACAATATGCAAACTTAATTATTGTATGAATAATAGTCTTCATAACATAAAGACACAATTATCATAGATAAATAGCGCATTTTCGACTTATTTCACAAAACACTAATGAAGAAATGCATTGAAGCAGTGTACTTAAAAGCGTGTACGTTAAATGACAGCTTTAAACACTAAATTCCATCAACGTTTATTGATTTATTTATAATTCAGTAACTGACAAGTACTCCACTAAATGTGTTCATCCTATGCAAGTTTTGATAAAGCTGGTAATTAGAATGATACGCTGTTGCTTTAACCCAAACCTTTTCTCCTGATCTAACTCTTATTATTGCTCCAAATGAACCACAGCTGTGATTAACATCACCATAGTGTGAATGTAATGCGGTAACTCTATCTTCCAACACCAAGCCAAGATATGCGTATTTTGTATTTAAAGTACATGTATGAATAACAAACTGGTACAGTCCTCCAACAGGGGCTGTGAACAACCCTGTGGTCGTGTCGTAACCTGTTCCCTCGTTCGTGAATGTCTTATCGAATATGAGAATCTCATTCGCAGTATCAAGAACCAGATCTTTCAAGTGATGTGCATAGAAAGCGATCGGAGGTTGCTCGAGCTTTCCTGAGTAGGAAGAATATAATATTTTTGTATTTTATATCTAAGATATCTCAATCAAGGGGCCTATGCAAGTTACAAAATCATATATTTATATCAGGCATATATCTGTAGAGTTTAAATAGTTTAAAGAGTTCAAATAATTAAAAACTAAAATGTGTGAATGTTAACAAAATCATCTGGATGTCTCATGAGAGCTAGAAATTTTCATATGAAACAACATATTTTGTTATATATTACTGACCACGTGATATACCAAGATAAAACATGAGTCAAGTTACACTCCTGCGCATCGGTCGAATGTTCCACTATCGCTCACTTCTTACTCATTTTGAAGTAACGGGAGTGTATTCAGTAAGCTGCGAAGGGAGCGTAGAGTCAAGTTAGCAACAATTTAATTTGCTATGATCCGCTATAGATAAATAAATATCAAACACAATTGATGTAAAACAGTTAACAATACCTTGGAGTTGAAAAAGTTTCTTTTTTTCAGCCTCGATGTCACTAGTCAGGTTTTTTCTTGTTTCCTCAAATGATGTTTTGAACGTTTCTGTAATAAAGTATGGACATTCTATTAACTAATATGTAACCAAAGTTAAAGGGTATTCTGTACGCAAACATAATTTCTCTATAGCTGCTATAATTATGTTCCCCTGTAAAGCATGTAGCGTTGATAATCTAAATGTAATTTATTCTAAAAACAATAAATGGAATTTTTAGGCGTATGTGTATTTTTTTTTATAGAAGATGATACATTAAATCTGATTTTTCAACATATATAGTTTTATACATTGTATATAATTTACAGATAGTGAGATATTGCAAATATATGATGTTTCAAACTTCTTTTTTATCACTTTAAATTAAC